TGGAGTAATGATGCTGAAAATTCATTAAATAAATTACATTTTAAAGTGTATTAAAAAAAGAAGACAGTTATTACATATTGTAATAATGTTTCATAACACTAAAGCCTTAAAAAATTTATAGGAAACTTCTTATATAATTATATATATATAAACATTTGAACATCAGAACCAAACTTTTGTTGTGTAATATAATATACGTTTTAATGACAGTGGTGCACAATATAAAAAATAAATAAATAAAAAATAGTACCTATAGTTATTTCGTTTTAGATTAATTAATTTAGCATGCACTTACCTAAGAACACAAACTGAAGTGACTAAACCAAAAATAAAATAAAATAAAATTACAAGTAATAGTTAATGGAAATAAAGCTGAAATAAAAAATAAAGTATTAGATTAAAATTTAAACTTAAAAAAAAATGAAAATGAAATGTTGCCTTGGCAAGTAACTGAAATATAATAAGTTTAAGTTGGAGTACTAAAATGACAAAAACTGAAATTAAAAAGAAATTTAAAATAAAAATGACAAATGTATAAAATTACTATAACCTAATATTTCAAAGAAAACCAAAAAAATAAAAAAATAAAAGCCAATTCAAAATTTTTATAAATATTATCATAGCATTCAAATAATACAATAACACCGAATCTAATTCATTCTAATTAATCTACATTTCTAACCATTGGTACTATTAAATAAATCTATTAAAAATTGGAAATTGAAATAAAGCGGATATAAAATCAAATATATATATTAGATGAAAACTTAAAATGTAAAAATTAAAAATGTAGCGTTGGCAACTAACTGAAAATACATTTAGGTATTGAAATGAGTGAAACTGAAATAAAAAAGCGAGACAGAGAAATAAATAGAAATATAAAGAATAATAATAATAATAAAATGACAAAATTGCATAATATTACTAAAACCTAAAATTAAAAAGAAAAAAATAGATATAAATAAAAGCTAATTAAAAGGCAAAAACAATTCAAGTAGTGTTAATGTAGCAAACTGTGGTGTTTCAGTGGATGTGTAGCGCAGTAATTTAGTGTGAGGGCCAGCATGAGGGCCCAGTAGCCCCTCACTACAGAACACAAGATCCAGGGGGCGTGGTTGGATCCTCTAGGGGGTGGAGCTCACCTGTGCCTGCACTGCAGATGCTGTGCCGCCTGTGCTGGATGGACGCACTTTAGATGTTTTGCTGATCACTTTCTTCTGCTGTAAAGCCATGTTGTACTTACAGGCTGCGTTCCTGTACTCTTTATCATGGAAAACAGCATCCGCGTGATACACCAGCAGCTGGTACTTCTGAGACGGTGAGAAAAGCTCCCTGAAAAAGAGAACTATGGTCACCACGGTCAATTGTTGCTCTACTGTCGATTTTACTTTAAGTGAGCTTACAGAACAACACATTTCTGTATTTCTGCTTCTGCATGATTTGTTGTGCATATCAGTCATTCTTCAGACGTGGGACAAAACAGGTCCAGCAAGGGTAACTGCTATTAGCTTGAAAATTTTTTAATATTTTCAATTTTAAATGTCATGAGGGATTAATAATGGAATGTATTTAACACAATTATCACCTTCAAATTAATTTTCTCATTATTATACCAAATCTGTGTTTCTTAATGTCCTCTCACTACATCTAAAACAGTGTGACCACAGAGAAGGGTTCAAGCATTCATATGCAATAAAATGGATAAAAAAAAATTTTTTAATGATGAAAAAGAGCTTGTTTTATCAAAAGCAATACTTAATATCTCCTATCAAAGCAAGGTTGTTTTTTAATGACACATGCATGTTTCATAAGATTTTAAAGTTGCGTCCCCACTTTTTGTCAACAACGTCAGACATTCAATAAAATGTAATAAAATCAGCGTTAATCAGGGGCAGCGGTCACTCTAAAGGAGCCCCTTGCCACAGTTCACCTCAGCAGAGTACAGCAGTGTCAGACAGGCTCTGCTAAGTTTTAGTTTTAGCATATTTTAACTCCTCATGTTAATATTTCCTGTGTCACAGTCATGATATGTCAACACCATCTTCCAATTTCTGAGGAAATTATTTGAAATATTTAGATAATTGTATTCTCCTGAAGCAGGTTCCATTAGCATCTAGCATCAACAGAAACAAAGAAAATGGCTACTACATGAACTCCACTGGTTTTGTGAAAGAAATGGCAAATTTGTCAACACTGTCAGATGTCACCACCATAAGATTTACTATTCCAATGATATATCTAAATACTTCAATGTGACTTTTGAATAAAAGCTTTATAAACAATAACATACTCACTGTTTGTCGTGTTTGTTTTAATACAGTAATGTATTTGATAGTTCAAATTATTACAAATTCAGGGTTGCCTCACCTCCGTCAGATGCGTCACCTCCGTCAGTTGAATATTTTGATAATATTTCATTATGATATTTTATATTTGTTGTGGAATTGTCGGTCACACGTGAAAGTGTAATCTGTCTGCTAACACGAGAATGTGTTTTGAAATGTTAAAAACATATTGAATGCTGTCAAAGATAAAGCTGAAATTATAGTACACAGTCCAAGCTAAAAAAAAAAAAAAAAAGCACATTTTGTTAAAAAAGAGAAAAGTTGGGGGGTTGTATCGAACCATAGCACAGTACATATAAGATACATAAATGTAGTTTCATTTACAAGGTTTTATTTTTTCAATTTTGCCCCCTGTTTTGTCCCACTTCTCCAGAATGACTGATATAATAAATAAACCGTTGACTTTTAATATCATCACTGAACAGACACAAACTTCACTTGACACCTGACAGCGTCCAGATCTGTTTTAACTCGTATAGTGAAGCACTGGAGACACTCACGGGTTGTTGGTGCTCATGGTCAGGAGTAAACTACTGATGATCCGGACATTAGAGTGCAGCCCGGCCGCTGCCATTTCCCGCACATGATCGATCACATTCATCTTCAATCGATTAGCTTTCAACTTCAAAGCACAATTCCAGTTAACAAACGCGCTGCGACACCGCGGAAGATGCAGCAGTGCTACAGAGAAGAGTTTTTTAAACGGCAGGAAATGATGCGATTTCAAAATAAAAGTCGGATTGGGGACAACTCGGGTCGCCAAACGAAAAGTCTCCGCCCTTGACAAGCGATGTTTACAAAGATTCCACCCTGTTGATGTTGTTTTAAACATTATTATTCTTATTTCTTATGATCCTCCGTGTATTACGTTAATTATTAGATTTGCTGGATATTAATCTATTGACAGCCGTAGTTTTAAACTAGATTGTGAAAAAATAGTTTTTAGCAGTACGATAGTTTTAACGGTGAAAAGATGATGTACATACGTTAGATAATAGTGTGTACTTGTGTTTGAATGATAGCTTTCGGAATCATAGAAAAATCACTGAGACTTTTATTTTATCTTACTAACTGAGCTAGAGAGATAATGTGGACTTCCGCTTTGGACACTTAGCTACTCTCCTACCTCAACAATGTTTTCTTGAGATAGATGCATCAATAAAAATAGTAATCGCATGTCTTCTGTAAAGTAATCTTAAATATGTGCCAAGTCTGCAATATTAAGTCAGATATGACAATATGAATTTGAATGAAACAATAACAAATTATCTGAGATGTGTTACCCACATTATTTTTACATTAAATGTGTAAATCTACGCTAGTTTACAAGAAAGATCTAAAAAGAAAAAAAAGTTGATTGTAATTAGTTATCTTAATATCAGTATAATTAAATGCACTCATATGAACTACCAATATTTATTTATTTCAGCTTGTAAGAAATAACTTTATTCATTTTGTATTGGCTTTGGAGATGAGGTTGGACTCGAGTTGTTGGTTATCAGAGAAATTCTCGATTGGGTAATGCTGTCTACATAATTGTGTTCACATATACGACAAACTACTTCCAAAATACATCTTTTTATATACCTTAACTACATTTTTAATTATTCACGCACAGATTTTTTTTGTCACAGCTTTAAATCCTATGTGTCCCCTAACCAAAACAAATGGATCCCACACACACACACACACACACACAAAACAAAGACATTGATGATATGTATATTATTTTACCAGGTTTCACAGGGTTATGTGTACAGAGGTACATGTCAGTTGTATGTTATATGCAACTGAATCATCATCATGTTCAAACAGTGATGATCTATGGTCTGGGCTCTTTGGAATTTTGAAACCAACGTCAGTCTAATTCGCAGGTAAGAAAAGGTTCCTATGTAAGCGTTGTTGCAGGGGTTCAGGCTCATATGCATGTCCACTTCAAACTGTTACCTAACAGTTTTTAATCTTTGCTTCCCACAATCAACTTCAAAGTGCACATTTGATCACATCTCACAACAGAGTAAATCTCTCTGCAAAGGTCCAAGTAAAATCCTTTTAAAAAACAAAAGGAAAACGGCATTGTATAAAATAAATCGCACCGACACCACTTTATGAACAGCTTCAAGCACTTGATAGTAGGTCTTTGATCACTGCGATGGCTTTGGGAGATCTACAAAAAAGTGAAGAGTATTGAAATGTACCTTACAAACAGTTGTAACAACTCCTAAAATCTTTCTTGCAAAAACCACACAGGAGAAGACGCCGTCTACACACATAAATACACAAATAAATAACATGCACGATTAACAAAATAATGCGTTTCCCTGATTATCAGCAATTATCGGTAATCGGAAGACAACTGATTTTAAATAGGCCTCAAATTGCTAAAATGATAAGGATGAGTTTAATATAAACAGAAACATTCATATGTAGTTATTTATGGGGGAAAAGGGTAATTGTGAGATTATATCTCACAATTCTGACTATTTTTTAATTCAGAACTGTGAGATAAAAGTCACAATTATCTTTAAAAAAAATTTTATTCCATGGAAAAAACAAAGAAAAACAAACAAACTCAGAATTCTAAAAAGAAAATAAAAAAAATGTCAGAATTGTAAGATATAAACTCGGAATTGCTAGCAATTTTTATCTTGCAATTCTGACTTTTTTTTTATTTTCTCAGAACTGTGAGAAAGTCCAAATCGTGGGATAAAGAGTCTGAATTATCGGAATTATTTCAAACGGGAACTTGATGCACATTAAAATTGGCACACTCTTGCTTAAAGAATTTTAGTAACAAAATTTCGAATTCGAAATTTCAAATCCAGAAAAGCTCCTTTTTGAGTTCAGCTGGATACTGTGTTAATCTTGCAGAAAATAAGAAACAAAATCCTAATGAGTGCTATTAATTACTGAGACTGTGTCTCCTCATAATGACCTATTATCATACATGCTTCAAGCTGTTCAATCCAGCAGCTGAATTTACAGCAATCCCCCTAAACCCAAAGAGTCTTTATGTGCATTTGTAACATACAAAATAAATAAATAAAAATATCAGTCTTCAAGGAACTTCCACATCCAAAGTGCCCACTGAGGCATCATGGTATCAGTTTGCAGTTGGAGTCGCAGTTGTTTTTCTAGATTGCACCGCAAACATCCAGATGGCGAGACGGTCATGGAATATCACCACAAATCCCAGGTTATGATCTCAAACATATCAGAGTCATGTTTTCGGTCTTCTCACTTGCCACTGTTCCACTTCAAATTTACACACAAATTCAGACGCAGTGCAATTACAAAATAAAATCGAATCACGTTTTTTTTGCAAAAAAAAATAAATAAAAAGGGTTTCAGTAAACTGTAACAGAAATACAGTATCGTTTCCAGTCTCGTAGCTGCTAAACTTGTGATTGCTGTGTCTTGCAACTTCAGAGGAGAGTGGCTTTTAAAAGCAGTTTGTTGTTCTAGCCGAGCAAGCTACGTCCTTTCCTCTCGTTCTGTTTTCCGGCGAGTGATGTTGCGAGGCTTGATCTTCAAAGAGAGCTCCCACAATGCCTCTTCAGCTAGATGGTCACTGAAGTCGTTGAAGAATGACACAATGTCATCGTTGTGTTTAAGGTCATAGTGCCTGAAAGAAAGAAAAGTAGAAGTCATGCAAAAAGCTTCATTTGAAGCTGAGAAAATATCAAATGTGAAGAGACATCTATTAAAAAGACATCTGTAGGTTACCACCAACAACCAACAATGTCCCAGCCACATTTTCACAATCTAATACAATTTGAATAGATACAATCAAGTCCTGCATATTTAGTCTTCACTTGATTATGAATGTCAAAGGGGTTGTCCAAGTACTCACACTTGCTGGAAGCGCCTCATAGTGTCCAGGATATTGAACTGCTGCCAGCGTTTGGAAAAGTTGATCTTTCCATCAATGAGGTCAGGATTCCCAAGATGCACAAAAGTTAGGTCTTGGAGGATGAGACCTCTGTATTTTGCGGCAAAACAGGGGAAAGAGTCGTTAAAGATGAATATGACATTTTACAATCAATACAAAATGTGCTTTTTAATGCTTAACATCTGTTCTTACAGATACGGTATACATGGAGGCTCCACATCTGCCAAAGCTGCTCTGTACGCCCGGAAGGAGGAGGAACTGTCAATTAAAGTGCAATATTCCTCCAAACCCTGTGATGATAACAGATATCAGTTACTGTAACGATCAACTGAGCACTGCAATAATATAGAGACAGGCAGTGCTGGGTAGTAACTGATTACATGTAATCTGGATTATATAATCAGAGTCCAAAAATTAAGTACTTGTAATACAAGTATATTACATTTTAAAATGCTCACAATCCGATTACTGTTACTTTTTATGGATTACATGATTACATATTATTCCCACAATGGCAGTAAATTATTCATAATTTATTGATTCTCCCTAACTTTTTTCCTTTCTAAAAATCACATTCAGCTTTGACGACAGACAGAAAGAAATATTTCAAGGAATGTATTTTCTCTCTCTTTGCTTTTTTATATCAATATGGTATGTTTAATGGTAAATTAAAACAAGTTTAATAAAAATAAGTCTACTAAAGAATACATTACCTAACGTGAGTAACCTAGATTATGTTACTAACTACAGTTTTCATCATGTAATCTGTAATCAGTAACGGACTACAATTTGTAAGTCATCTACCCAGCTCTGGAGTTTGTGATTTACCTCCGATGTTTGCTTCTGCCATTCCAGTCTTCTGATAGGCGCCGAATCCAGCGCTGATAATATTGCCAAGTAGGAGTTGAAGTTATTGAGTTTTCTTAAGTGCTAAATTACAAAGAGACACAGGTTCATTTAGATTAGATTCAGATTAGATTAAATTTGGAAGAATGAAATTAGTTTGTACCTTCATTATTTTTATAAACTTTAGAAGTAGTTTTTCCCGATCCTGGGGTTTCTCTTGCTGGATTATTAAGGAGCGAACCCTTAAAAAGAGAGATTAAAATATATAATGTACTGTATTATTAGCGTGTCCATAAACAATGTTTTCTCCATCAACATAAGATTTTAGGTTGAGATTTATATGAATGCAATTAAAAATTTTTTGTATCATATAGGGAAGTTGTCACCAGACATAGACAGAGTCTAAGGGTGTGTTCACACTTGGAGTTTGCTTCATTTGGTCCGGACCAAAAAGGAAAATGGTCCTGGTCCGCTAAGCGTTCACATTGGCATTTTTGACAGCGAACCTAAAGACACCGAATCTAAAGGCATAGTGATACGTTCACAACCTGATTGGTCGACTTGAATGACGTATATATCGTGATGGAACTCACCAAACACCCCAAACAAAAGGTGCGTTAGACTTAAAGCAGTGCTGCGGGTGTATGATATCAAAGCACCCATTAACCGATCGGTCTGCTCAGTGCCACTTTAAGTCAAACACACCTAATGCTGTCTGCTGGACTAAGCGCGCTCATTCTTGCGTGTACATATAATTTTATTTTCACCACCTGCAAACTCACAAGGAGCTCATACTTTACCTCATCGTTGCTCCATGATTGCCCTCTGCTCATTTTGTTTTGGTTACACCGCGTCGTCAAATCATGTCGCATAGCGTCGCATCTTGTCATTACTTCCTGTTTTTGGTTTGTTTAGATGTATTGCATCCGTGTTGTGTTCATATATCATTCGAACCGCACCAGAGTTCGTTTGGAAGCGGACCGAGACCCATCTTTTTTAGCGGTCTCGGTCCGCTTGTTTGGTGTGCACCAGGGTTCGGATGGCAGCGTTCACACATGCTCAAATGAACCGCACTAACAGAGCAATCGCACCAGGTTTCGTTTTAATCGAACCAAACAAGCCAAGTGTGAACGCACCCTAAGTGAGGTTCTGGCAGAATAAGCTTGTAATATGGGCCAGTTTCGTAAGACTAGTTTTCTGGCTATGCTGTGGCACCTGACGTTTCTTTTCTTAAACGCTGAAAGTTTTACACCAGCTTGAGAATCAGAGCATCATACCAGTATGACATGTTGTTGAAGTGCTCTGTGAACTGGGTCAGATTGGGGCTCTTTTCCTCATTCTGTTCCTTTGCCCAAAGTAACACCTCTGGAATCTGCAGAAGGACAGGAAAAACGTGTTGGAAAATCTGGAATCTTTCAAGATAGAAAGCATGATGAATGACATTAGAGAAGTCATACCTCTATCTTATAAAACAGCTCTGCATCGAGGAGAGTCAGCTGGTCTGCAATCTCATGGCTACGGAAGTCGTGCAGAGTGCCGGGCCTGTTAACAAAGTCAAAATCACTTAACTTCACTCTAAATGATTCATTTTTAAAAGAAAGATGATTTAGGTGAGCATTACCTGGCGGCCACACCTCGTGCAGCCAGCGTTTTGAGGGAATTAGTGTACTGCAGCAACTTCTTCTGCTGGACTTTATCTAGGATGTTCTTGCGCAGAACCCGGGCCAGGGTGAGCTCACCGTTACACAACAGATTGAACACAAGCTCCATGAGCTGCTTCAGGATGTCTTCTGTCAGCTCCACCAAACTGATGGCGTATGAATAAGAGTTCATATTAAAATATGCTTCACAGGCAACAACAAGTCACTTGCAGATTTCACATATGAAACCATAAACAACTACTAGCTTAAAAAACTGTGAGGCACAATTATTTGTAGAACAATATTTGAAATCTACTACATTTTTGTGGCAAATGTTTACATGTTATGTCAACAAATGTTAAACTGTACATGTGTTTACAGTTTCTTGTGTCATCACATGGGCCTCAGAGTAAATAGTGTGGAGTAACTGCATAAGTGCCTTCAGAACTTGAGCTGTAATCTTCTTATATTATGGTATTCCAACTTTGTATGTGGCCAGATTATGGCAAAACAGCATATCATCAAGGAAAATCTGAATTCCAGCTCACCAAAGCTCATCCACGACGCGCACCAGCACGAAGAATGTGTTTTTACTAGCTCGTTGTTTGATAATGTCAGAGCTGAGAGAAAATCTGGTAAATGTGTTCAGAGTCAAGGGCGAAAAGAAGCTTGGAGTGTAAAAAGGTTAGCAATGCAAAGATTTATAAAGTACCCTCCTGCACCCTCAGAAAGGATATCTATGGCGGAGCTTTTTAATTAGGTCCTCTGGGGTTAGAAACGTTCGGTATGTGGTCAAAAAAGCTTCACAGTATAAAACCCGATCTACAAAAGAGAACATAAAGATACATTTATTTAATCATAATTATAGGTTAAGATTTAAAAATGAGAAATAGAAATAAATTACACCACCGTTCAAAATTTGGTGTCAAAAAAATACATTAAAAACAGTAATATTTTAAAATATTATTAGACTTTAAAATAACTGTTTTCTATTATAAATATATTTTAAACTATTTAAAATATATTTTAATATGTAATTTATTCTTGTGATAGCAAAGCTGAATTTTCAGCATCATTACTCCAGACTTTAGTGTCACATGAACATTTAGAAATCATTCTGAAATGATGATTTGCTGCTCAAGACACATTTCTTAATCTGATCAACGTTTTGAAAACATTCAATTGTGTTGCTTATTATTTTTGTGGAAACCGTGATACATTAAATGAAACAGATTTTAACAATGTAAATGTCACATTTGATCATTTAAATACATCCTAAATAAAAGTATTAATTTCTTTAAACATTTTTGACTGACCTCAAACTTTTGAACGGTAGTTGAAATGCTACATTTTTTGTTTAATGCATGTGTTATTAAATAAATAAACATTTAACACAAAATAATTCAGATTAGAAGAGATTATACTTGAATGAATGAGGCATTTATATAGCGCTTTATTGTGTGTTGCTGTACACCCAAAGCGCTTTACAATCATATGAGGGGGTCTCTCCTCAACCACCACCAGTGTGCAGCTGGATCCACCTGGATGATGCATTTTATTCTTATTCTACATTTTATTCTTACCTTTGCGATCTGTTTCGGTGGCATGAACTAATAAAATATCGCCTGATCCAGCTCTGACGTCAGGGCCGTCATCGTTCTGAGAAACACAGATTAGGATTATGCAGTTTTCGACAAGCAGGTCAAAGTTAAAGCTTTTCATGTAATCAGCTCCTAAATATAACTTCTCAGAGGCATGTGCAAAATAATATTTTCAAAATCTACTAGTTGAACAACCAGTTGGTCCTCAGGAAGCCCTATATACTTAGGATCAGCTGAACCCCAACACATGTTGAGATGTCAGGATGTTTAATTTCAAGACACGTTCTTGTTTTCAAAAGCAGAAGGGAACAGGAAGCAGCATGTCTGCTCACTAGAGTCATATTTCCTGTCTTACTGCAGAGTACAAGTGGTCCACTTATTAACTCTCTCATGTATTAATTCAGCGGAGATGCTCTCTGCAGTAGGTCTGACCTTGCAGTGTGAACAGCAGTATTTCACATGTACTTCAACACTGGGGTTAGCCACAGCGGCACTGCAGTGGCTTTAATTCACAGGCAGAGGGCAGCAGAGAGCACACTAGCGCTCTGATCATCATTGCAACCAATGCAAATCAAGATATAAGCTTCTAAAATTAAAGATTGCCATTTCTGTTTCTCATAAGTTGTACCTCTTGCTTTAGTGTTAACCGAGACATTATCTCATCGTGGTCTATCAGGTAGAGCTCATCCACGTCTTCTGAGGTCAACTCGGAGTCCACACACTTCTGCTTCCAGCTGTAAATGAGAGGATAGCTTATCAAAAGTACAAAACATGGAAGAAAAGGCATTTTCCGGTGGGAGAAAATAAACGCCATATCATAAAACAGATTTCTGAGGTATTTCTTTAAAGCAATGAGTGTTACCCCTCTCTGTCAGCTGGATCTTTGCTGTGTTCTGAAGCCGAGTCCTGGAGTGAGTCCTCGGCACCACAAGAAGAGTCCTGGCAATGACAGAAAAAATATTTAGGGACTATTAGGATCATCATTCCATCCAGAGAAGAACGGGGCGAAAAAGAGACTTCTCTGGCAAAATGCTTCACAGTAACAGGACAGCAGGATTTTACATTTTAATAAAATGCAAAATACAGGGAAGAGCACAAGGTGATAGTTCTGCATTTCACAAAACATTCACAAGGCATATTGATAACACATTACAATTTAGTAAAGTCACTGAATAACTATATACACTACTGCGAAAAAGTTTGAGGTCAGAAAGTTTTTTGGGAAATTAGTCTCTTATGCTCACCAAGGCTGCATTTATTTGATAAAAAACAGTAATACTGTAAAATAATAACAATAAGTCGTGGCCTAATGATCAGAGAGTCGGACTCATAACCCAAAGGTTGTGGGTTCGAGTCTCGTACCGGCAGGGATTGTAGGTGGGGGGAGTGAATGTACAGCGCTCTCTCCCACCTTCAATACCACGACTGAGGTGCCCTTGATCAAGGCACCGAACCCCCAACTCCCCGGGCGCCGCAGCATAAATGGCTGCCCACTGCTCCGTGTGTGTTCACGGTGTGTGTGTGTGTGTGTGTTCACTGCTGTGTGTGCGCACTTTGGATGGGTAAATGCAGAGCACTAATTCCGAGTATGGGTCACCATACTTGGCCACATGTCATGTCACTTTAAAAAAAAATTTTTTTTTTTTTTTTAAATAACAGTTTTATATTTAAATACATTTGAAAATGTAATTGTATTGTATTCCTGGGATGGTAAAGCTGCCAGCAGTCATTACTCCAGTCCGTCACATGATCCTTCAGAAATTGTTCTAATATGATTTGGTGCTCAAGAAATTATTCTTATTGTTGTTATTATTTCTTATTATTATGTGTTGCTTTATATTTCAGTGGAAATCGTGAAACATTTTTCAGCATTATGTTTTGATGAATAGAAATGTAAAAAGGAAAGTATTGAAAATAGAAAATTTCTGAAATGTAAAAGTTTTTAATGTCACTTGCTAAATAAAAGTATTAATTTATTGTTAAAAAAAATTACTGACCCCATACATTTAAATTGTAGTACACACATATATATATATATATATATATCAGCTTTACAGAAAGTGCCTTAATACCCATGACATGCATCGATAAGTGATTATCCATGATTATCAAACATGAGGTTAGATAAATCATTTGCGCAAAGCTGTTAATTTATAATCAAACACAACGCATCACCAAGGAAAATATGCTTATGTGACTTCACATCACAGTTTTTGTCTATACATAGTAAATATGTATATACACTGTAGTAGATAATTACAAACACTACTGTATATGCAAACACCAAAATATTAGACTGCACATTCACTGTTTCACCAAATAAGGTTTTTTAGTCATGCCATATTTTAAAGCTAATGTCAAATACAATTTTGCAGAAATGTAATGTTGACATGACTGTGTAACATTATACCACATCGGGACAAATCTGATGATCTGTTCCAAGGGTTTTAATAATTACTGCTGCAACTGCAGGTTTTATTGTTTGGAAAGCACACAATCATCAAATCAACAATTCCTCTTTTCACTTCTCGAATTCTATCAGAGCAACTCGATTTCACAACAATGTCTGCACACAAAGCCACTGAAAAACTACAGGCCTCTTTTTTTGCCCAGGTAGTTTTTCCGGCTACACTGCATGCAAAATCTTGCACAAAAATACATACTAGACATATGTCCAACAATACAGAGAAGGATTTTGAACCAATTGAATTTTACTGTGGGCAGGGCAACCCAGCATGGCACGGCAAAATTTCTTATGCAACAATACTGAGTCACGGCTGGTTACGACAAAAGCTCAGATTAGCATGCAAGAGATTTCTTGTTTGTGGCTTTGATGGCAGGTGTTAAGTAAAATTTGCAATTAACCAGTGGCATGATGCAAAGCCAAGCATTACAGTGACAAACAGCACAAGCGCAGCATGTGAGGGCACCGACATGTCGGCTGCAAACGCTGACATGCTGTTACTTACTCCATTGGAGAGAGTCACATCTCCATTGGCTTGGTTGGATGAATACAGATTGACGTATTCACCCTCCCCACCTTCATCATTAGCACTTTCACTCTACAGGAAAACAAGAGGGAGGACAGCACAAGGATTGCCAGGTGTCAGAGTAAAGGTGTGGTTCGGAGCTGATGCCCACAAAGATGAAGAATTAAACTTGGCAGAAGGAATCTATTGCTCTGGTGGGCCTGAAATCAAAGGACATTTGGTAGCAAAGCAAGATATAGCACGACCTGCCTCTGGAAACTTGGTACGACGTTGTGCATTAGAGTGATTTTACTACATGAAGCTGAATTGCGTTAAAGTTAACTGCTTAAAACACTCTTAATTGTGGTAAAATCAATGTAATGCAAGGCTTCAGGTGACTCCCTGCTCAACTGCAGCAGAAGAAATACAATGAAGGACATCAAATGTTCAATACATGATTACATTTATTCATAACTAGCACAATAAACAATTCCTTCGCCAAATAAGATCATTAACTGTCTCTAAACTGGAAGCAAGCATCATTTATCATGTAATAAAACTTTATTGCTCCCATTCTAATCAACATAGCTGTCTACATTACAAGTGTATTGACGTCAGACTCTTGAGCAGACAGCTTCATTGACTACAATGTGAGCAGTCACAATAAGCCTTGTGCTTCCAGTGCAGACGAATGTAATAGGAAGGAACTATTTTCTCTGCCAATCTAAAGTAGATTACAATGGGTTTTTATTACATTTAATTCAGTCCAAGTCCAGTCCAAATTTTATTATTGTGGTATGACTGGATGATTTTTAATTTTGTTTTGATATGGTGAATTTTTATGAAGGAAAAAACAATTAAACAAAAGCTAAAACATATCTTTTTACTTCAGCTTTTAACTAGCAATGACTTCTCTGAAGCATTGTATGCATTATGCTTTCTTTTAGTATTACTTATTTTTAATTTACATATCTTGTTATGCATTTTATGCAGACTAATTTCATCTTCTTTTATTATTATGGGTTTAATCTTTGCATCTATGGTGGGTTTCATCTTTAATCTTACTGTAATTTTTATCTGTTTTTAACATAACGTAGGTCACATTTTTTGTAAGGCACTTTGAGCTGCAATACTCGCATGAAATGAACTTTTTTTAGTTTATTATTTTATCACAAATAATTGCATTTTGTGTATTGAATGAAAATGTATTGGGTATGACTATTCCAACTGTGATATTATTTATTATATTATCAGATTACAATAAAAAAATAATACAAATAAGTTACAAATTTTATAATACATTAATAATAATAATAATCTATAATAAAAATATATTATCACCATCATTAAATAAATATAGACATTAAATCTCAAAGCTGATCCATTGAATTACTGCCACTCCATATATATATATATATATATATATATATATATAAATATAAAGAAATGGGACACAAAGTACCAGCTACTAACCCTGAGACAGATCACCTATATTTAGTTTAATATTTAAGAGGTATCGAAAAGAGTTCCCTGTGATTCAGTAGACTTAGTCAGAGGATACAGCTCAGCAGACATAACATCATAACAGGCAGCTCAGTCACCTAACAGCGGGGAGCCCGACGAGTCCCTGCGGGATGATGCATGTTTAACCTGAGCTTTTCAGCAGGTCACAGTTGCAGGACCCCTGTGTGGTACATGCTTTTGACTCTTTAAATCTTTAGATCTCCGCCACTAAAGACTAGAGGCGTGTGCAGGAAAAAAAAAATCACTGAACCCTAACGAGGCAGTGCTGCCGTTAATTGAAGTTGTGAACTATTTGTTGCCTACAGGCTACAGCACCTGTGATTCATGTGAGCTATTATGAACATGTTTCCTATTGCACCTTCTGGCACACACACCTACACAGAGTCAATAATTAGACAATCAGCAGGGTTTGCATGTTTGTGCTACTTCTCAGCATGTGAAGACGAATTGAAAAACTACAGAATCATAACTGCGATGTTTGAAATGCTGCACCATAGTATTAAAGGGGTCATATGATGCTATTTTAAAGATCATTATTTTGTGTATTTGGTGTAACAGAATATGTTGACAAGCTTTATTTGAAAAATAATGCGTTTTTTGAACATTACTGTACATTATTGTAGGTCCTCTATGCCCCGCCTCTCTCAAACACGTCGTTTTCAACAAAGCCCCCTCCTTTGACAAGCGCAGTCTGCTCTGATTGGCCAGCTGACCCAGTGCATTGTGATTGGCCGAACACCACAAGCACGTGTCGGAAATGTAACCATAATCGCGAGCTTCAAGCTTTCAAAGTAAATATCAAGACAGTTAATAATGTCGTTAGTTTTGGGGGGCTGAATAAAATGGGTTCACATCTTCATATATTTTCAGTCTTTATTTTTTTTGCTAGCTCCTTTGTTAGCTGCAGATTTCTGGACAGGAAAACTAATGTGTCAACGCTGTCACTTGATAGTCTGGACCTTAGTGGGTTACAGATCAAGCCTGATGTACTGAAAACTCTCTCAGAGGCTGAGCTTGATGCTGGAATGCAAAGGTAATATTTGGCAAATGTTGAAAGAATGGGGAGGCTTGATTCATGCCTTTTCCACCGAGAAAGTGGGTTTTCTGTGGCACTGGTCTCTTCCATGGTCTTGTATGTGTGGAGTAGGGCTGCACGATAAATCCCATGCGATATTTAACGCGCATCTTGTCAGTAAAGCCGGTTCTGTAATCAGCGGTAAATCTCCATCACGTGCGTGCTTTCACACTGAGCAGCATTAACTACACAGAGCCGTTGTGCACTGACAAGCTGCGCAAAACCATGATCATATTTAGCAGTAATATGCCCTTCATCACTATTACTAATACTAAAAATAATACTGATCTTATTAAAATAAAAGTCTAAATTAAATCAGTCGAAAGAGACACATTTACCTGTCGATCTTTTAACTCCTTGAACAAATCAGGATGAGCGAGTGACAAATGTTCCCATGGCAGCACATGATTTATAGCAGCGCTTGCAGACTGGTGAATTAAGGTCGCTTGGTTCACCTTTTTC